AAAAATTTAGTAAATTATTGAAGTAATTATAAATAGTTAAATAAAAGAAATAAATTATCAAACCTTGTCTTATTTGGGGCTCGGATTCGACTTGCAATTTCAGACATCAAAAACTAAGAAATAGTTCAGCCGGCCTTTGGCTAAATATACAGTACAACATACGATTTAAATGGGGAGGGGGACATTTTTCCAGGCAAATGCCAGTGAAAAAAAAATGTAAAATGATTAAAGCATCATTAATGAAATAGAGAGAATGCTAGGTACAATATGTGAGTATGCAAAGAAATTTTAAGGAAGAATTGTAGCTTCAAATTCAATGAGAGAAGAGTGCAATGCTTTCTGACTGTGATGACCTGCCAATATAATTCTCACTGTCAAGTAGAATGAAACTGGGAAAAATATTTTCTCCAAATCTGATCCAATGATAACATGCGAATAAACGAAATAGATCTGCTGGATTATCCTTTCCGCTGCAATGGTACCACTGGTTAGCATTGAAAATTGCCTAGATTTCTGCTATGTGGTTGCCAACAAATGGCTTCCAGACATTTAGTGATTTCCATATCCAATGCAGCATTACTTTGGAGTTGTTTCCAAAAATATTGTTGCTTAACATTGGCAGGATGTGTTTTAAATATTTAGCTAAGCGAGCAGCTAGAGGGAGGGTTAAAGATTTGAGGGGAGCTATTTTTGCCATTATAGAACTGGTTTTAATTTCCTTATTTTCATCAGTGTATCTAAAATATGTAACTGCTCTAAAAGCTCTGGGTGTGGCATCACAAAAATATGAACGCTCAGCTGCATGGAATTATTGTTGTGAAAGGATTTTCTAAGGACATTAGGGGTTTTTAAACATCTCATTTCTGTACTTTAGTCTATCCGCCTTTTTTTAATATCTATGGGAAGTGCAGCATCCCACACTAAACGCAGAAGACAAATGTCTTGTAACATGATCTTGACCCAAACTATAAATGGTTCGTTGCAAATACCTGATAGGGTCAAATACTTTGGGAACAGTTTTCAACATCGGTCTTTTTGTGTTGTCTTCATCATTTCAAGTTCACTCCTGAACTGGTTTCATGTTTAGTTTTATTATATCATAACTAGGATTCCAAATCATGCTCCAAAATTTTGTTTCTTTATTGAAATTATCTTCTCCCTGAAGTTTGAGCTTATTGATAAGGCATTTAATTCCTCTGAATTATATTTTAATTTTCTCAAATTCGTACTTGCTTCACGAAAAATATTTACAGCATCCACAGAAAAATTGGTATTTATCTTCTACAGTTTAACCTCCATAAAATAAATCATGAACGTAAATAGAAGAATTAAGCATTTTAAAACTCTCGGGACGGTCCCCTTTATACCCTTTAATGTGATATTTTGTTGTAGCAGCCAACAGAAAAGAACTAACCGCTGCCCAGAACGGCACCCGACACATGCGCATAATATTACATAATTGGTCATCATTCCCAACCAAAGGAATCTTAAGTAATCCCTATCTTTTTCTGCAATGTGAATCATTAAAAATGCCTTTTCTATGTCCCCACAAAATGCTATTTCAGGTTCACCAAATCTTAGGATCATGCGAATAACTTTCTGATTCAGATTTAGGCCGGTTTTTAGGCATTCATTTAAAAGATTAAAATTTTCGAGTCTTCGAAGAAGGGTCGAAAACTGCACGGACATGAGTCGTCTCAGAGTCTCGAATTGCAGCATGGTGTGGCATATACAGTCAAAAGTCGTCAATCCGGACTCGTCGGGACTTCGGCGATTCCGGATTATAGATCATCAGTTTAAATCCAGTAAGATGGCATGCAGAAATTATAAAATTAAAAATACGAAACTGTAATTTATGAAATAAAGAGCAATTATGATCTAAAGGGTATCAAAATTTACAAAGAAAAAGCTTAATAGTTATTTGTTTACTTTATTAAACATTTCTTTCAATGTAAGTTGTTTAAGTTGCTTCGTTTTTTATGTGATAATACATTCTCTTTAATTCTATTAACAGACATAATTTCTTGTCCAATTACAAAGTTCCGCTGTTCCAAGTCCTATAATTGCTGTGTCGAGAATACCGACTAATTTGTCAATCGAAATTTATTCGTTTTCAATAACCTCTGTGTCACTTTCTTCGCTATCGGAAGTGAATTATAATGATGAGGAATTTGATTTAAATCATCAAAGACAGAGTACATCGAGATGAAATACTACATTTAGTAAGGAATTATAAGCCAAATAAAATAAAAACATCTGCCCTGAAGATAAGGATAGTGCTGACAGATCAACTTCCAATTCATTGCGCGCTGCGGTGTTCCCCCCGCAGAGCAGTGTGAAATTGATAAACAGATTTTGGAATGGTTAGAGAAACAAAGGATATGCCTTGATCTATTTTTTGCAGCAATTCCTGTTTTTGTTTAATGGACTTTGAAACATACTTTCGCTTTGTAGATCCTTTACATATTAGTAAATATATATCAGAAATTCTATTTGACATAATCGAAAGTTCAAGCTTACTTTTATAAAATTGCTCTAACAGTCTGCAAAAAATAATAAGCCGGATTCAATTCGAAGATTAAGGAACAACACAATCTGCAACATTAACTGAATTAGATAATTTTAGCTTAGCTTATACCACCCGTTATATGTTAAATGCACATGCGTAAACGTATTATGCGCATGCGCACACGCATATTCGCAGCCGTAAAGGTCTTACGTGCATGCGTAAACGCCTATGCGACGCATGCGCAGAAATTTTGTATTTTTGAGGTCCGGATTGTAGATCATTCTGGATTATGGGTGTCCAAATTAACGACTTTTGACTGTAATACTGTGAAAATTTAATTTCATTAGGGCATTCTTCGACTATTTTTTCCCTTAACTGCTCTTTAATAATTTTCTTATATTTTTTCAATATTTCTGGAGTTTCCTGTTATTTTTTTTTAATTCAAACCGCCTTTCTTTGCGATATCAAAATTATTTCCTAGTTCTTCCATAGTAGATTTCCACAACAGTTTACATTCATATCCTTTATTTTTAAACCACACATTTCTTTTAAAATGGCTAATTAGGTCATTATCAGTTTGATCAAATTCATTTAGTCTGTCATTTGATTTTCCCATTGAATCAAGCTGCCAAAACTCACTTAAATCATCTGATCATCGAGGCATTTCTTACTAGTACTGCTGTGTGCTTCGAATGATTACCTTCCTTTTGATTTCCCACCGACTGAGATCCGAAAATGGAATTTACAACTTGGAGATGTTTGTTTATGCGTTTTTGATTTGTCAGCACTACATCCCAGAATCGGCCGGCGCCAATTAATATTCCTACATGCTGTAATTCTTCATTGTTGTTTACATTTAGATCCGTTGAATGTAAACCTAAGCGCTTCATTTTTCGAGCTATGCCTGGAACTCTTTATGGGACAAGCTGATGTTGTGTTAGTCACTAGGCATTCCAATTTACTTTTATTCTTTTGATTTCTATCTCTTATTTCAATTGCGACCACAGGATAATTCTCAATTATTGATATCTTAGTTCTTAATGAAAAAAACCCCACAATTCTTCATTTTGGATAGGTTCTAATTTTAAAGATCTTGCTAAGGTATCTTTAATGATTTCGCTACCTTGATCAAGATGAACATGAACAACTTTAGTTTCATTTTCGGTACAAGCCAAAACAGTGCATGTGTGTAATAAAGTATTTTTCAAAACAGAAATATTACACTGAGAAAACCAAAGTGTTAATATTAACATTTGAAACTAAAGGTTCTTTCTTCAAACTCAAGATAATTGATTCATTTTCAGATAAATTACATAAATTTGATCTTTCCTCATTACTTTACAATTGGATTGATTCATGATGATTTTTGCCATTACATTTACTGCATGCATTTTTATCTTTGCAAAAATAATTCAAATGAAATTTCTTATAATGTTTAAAACATGGATTATGTACTTTGAGAAAGTTTATTTTCTCACTCACCCCTTTACTGCATTTAAAAGAATCGTGGTGTTTCTCACAGAAGATGCATACTCGCTGTACTGTAGTGTTAAATGCACTAGCCATGGGTGTATTTCTGTTGTCTTTTATATATAGTTATCTGATTATAATAATTAGTAAGCGTTTTATTTTCACCGCAAGCCAATAAAGTACTTTCAAGACATTCAACCCCCTTCTTTAAGAAAATGAATTTAGAAATGTCAACATTGCCTTAATCTCTTTGTGGTTAAATTCTAAAATTAGTTCGTGGGACAAGATTTTTTGCAAAATAAGTATTAGAAAATGTCCGAAAGAGCCTGATGTAACATTTATGGCCTCTAAATCCAAAAAGTTATGGTCTGACAGTCTCGGATATTCCTTCAATGATGCACCATAAGAACAAATCCATTACAGTTTGTAACTATCATCAAGGTCAGTTAAGTTCTTTTGGTGGTTCAGATTTTTATATAATAGGAAATAAAATGCTCAGTCTAAAAACACAACAGCAATTAATTTATTTACAAGTTACTGAAATAGAGTATAATATTCTTTTGCCAGTAATTATTAGGGCCAGCGATTCCCTTACAAAAACATTTTAACTTGAAGGGAAAAGGAAGGAAGGTGGGAGCTACCTCTTTAGGCGTTTCACAACACCCCATAGCAATACTGGATAGTAGTTTCATGCCAGAATTATTTAATGGGCTCGGCTCTGATGTATGTGCAAGTTCAGTTTTGAATGTGCATTTGAGTCAATTCTATGTTACTTGTACATGATGTGGAGTAATATTATCCTACTGAGAGACTGCTTTTCCTTACTCTGCATAAAAAAAATACAGATGGCATGCAAGAATGTGTGAGGTCTTATGAGATATTCCAGTATCAGCAGGGATTCATTTCCATATGTATGAACTTGTATCTTTAATAAATTAATCTTTTCCTTTATTAATTTTTAAAAAAGATTAAAATATGGTTCAAAATAATTATTTATTATCTCACCATTTTCTGTTTTCAGGAGACGTAGCTGGTTTTCTCCATATTGAAATTTCTAAATCTAGTCATTATGGGAATATTTTCTTCAGTGAGTTTCATCACTTTTAATTCACAGTTTATACTTTTTTTATCTGTAGCTGTATTCTAGGATGATATATTGTAAAATGCACCTTTAATATCATATATTAAATTTACTCAAATCATATAATTAAGAGGCAAACAGACTTTTTATTGGAGACTGTTCAACTTAAGTAAGTAATGTTTCTATTAATTTATATTATTCAGTTAACTAAATTTAATATTGCATCTTGTTATATTAAATTTAGTAACTGTACAATTTATTTAAATTACTTTATTATTTATTTATTTAATTATATAGTAAATTTAATTACTGTACAATATTCCAGGATATGTATTATGTTATTTAGTTTTTCAATACTAATATATTAATAATTTTTATGAAAAAATGACTGTGCATATATTTCCCCCTTCTCAGTTAAGAATTCAGCAAGCAGGGTTTACATAGTCTTTAAAAGTCCTTAGATTTTTTTAGAAACAATTTTTGGTCCTTGAAAGTTCTTAGTTTTGGGTCAAAATTGGCAAAAGGTCCTTAATTTTAATTATCTGACAATTCCATCTGTTTTTTTTTATGACTGCCATTTTGAGTGTTAATTAGCATTTTGGAGGAATATATTTTGGCAGTGATTGACAAATATGTATTTGATGGAGTAACATTTGAATTCTTTACAACTGCGTAATATACTGGATACTTGAGTTTTAGGCATGAAATGCTGTCTTGATTGAAACATATATTTTGAAATTATTTCTTTTTTGGGAAAGAAGAGTTCATAAAATATTGCATCACAGTTTCTCTTTTTTGAAATAAAAATTCTTTTATCATGTGGTGCTAAATTTACTGACTTATGAACATTTTGGTGATTTCGAGATCAGTTTGTATACAAAATTTTTTATTTGAAAATTTCCAAATTTTCGGACGGTTTTTTTACAAACAGAATAATATTGATAAATGTCATAAAAGTGATGAAAATGTATTAAAAATATATTTTAGAAATAACCTTAAAATAAAACATTTTTATTTTCTCCTGTCTTATTTTAAAGCGAGATTATTTTTCATTTTTGTGACTTAAAAATATTTTGATTTTGAAAAAGTAACAAAATAAATACTATAACTATAAAGCACAGTTTCTGAAACATTTTGAGAATAAAATAAAAAAAAGCTACTATAATTATTTTGAAATTTCCTTTGTCTAATAATTTTCCTTCATCTTTCATATTTTTTCATAAGAGTTTTTCCTTATATAATTGTGTCGGAATATTTAAATGTGTATCAGTTTTCTCTTTAGAATTTATTTTGCACTTTTCTTTTCTGATTTTCTTTTTCCAAAAATCATCTATCTTTTTGCTGTTACATAATTGGTAGGGATTTTAGACCTAGCATCTGTGAAGGTTTAGAAGGATTTAAAGGCAAGATTTTCCAGAAAAATGTGATGAAATGAAAATTGTCTTTATGGTATTAACACATAGTAGATCTTTATTATAGGAAATTCATGATGAATTTCTTAGCTTTTGAAGAATTTTTGAAAGAACAGCAAAAACAAAATTATTTGAATCTTCTCCTTTTCACCCCAGAAGTCTCTCAGTCTCTCTCTAAACATGTTTATCTTTCCTTTATTTTCTTATCTTTCCATAAGACACGGAAAGATAAGGAAAATAAAAGATAATGAAAGCCAACAATTTATTAAAAAAATTCACGTTATGTGTCTCAGTGCACCCTTCATACCTTGGTGTCGGCTATAAATTCTGAAATTTTTGCCTTTCCCTAGATTCTGTTACTCATTACTAAATTCTAAGAATTCTGACACATTGGCTCTGGTGCTGGCCCTGACCATATATCATTTCATATTTATTCTCAATACTCATATTATTAAAAAATATAATCAACAGTTTCTTGTATACATTTTAATTGCAAGCACTTCTTTAGAATAACAGAAGGCTTTAATTAAATCAGAAAATTCTAAAGTGAAGAAACTCGTTGAAGAAGAAACTGATTTTATAAAAAAGAGAAAGTTACTCTTCAGGGAAACATTCATAAATTAGGAGATGAAGCAGAGACTATGGGGAACATTAACTTCTTTATTGAAACAAATAAACGTAGAAAAAATGCTAAAGGGAAGGGAACTGATTTAAATGATCTAAAATATTTTGACATTTTTCAAATTAAAAATATCCATAAATGTTTTTAGCTTAATGTTTAGCATAAATGTTTCTAGTTTTGCAAATTAAAAGCTACAAAACATAAATGTAATACGAATATAATTTTGGAATCAATATTATTGATTATAACTGCTGTAAAATGTTTAGTGCATTAAAATTTTTTTTAGTTAAAAAAAATGTAATTGTAACCATGTAAATTTATTATGCCTAAGGATATCTAGCTACATAATTTATTTTTTTGTAACTAACTGCTTACCCTTAAAAGTTATCTCTACATGCTAAAGATAGCCTTTCCTTAATCCTTATTGTAGGTGTAAGATACAACATAAAAATGTAAAATTTAACATAAAACTTTATTCCTTGCATCTAATGAGATTTAAAATAATACAAAAGAACTTACCACCCTAGTACTTCAACAGCCTATTGAAACTTCATATTAAATACACTATATTAACTGGGTTATACTTCAGCAAATCCACATGAAGCTATAACACTAACTAGGTCAGACAAAGTGCAACTAACTTTCAACACTGACATTCATGACTGTTCTGATAAGTGGCTTTCTGTCTAAGCAAGCAGCTGGTGGCAACAACAAGCTTCTGTTTTGAGTCATGTTGATTATTATTTTACTCTTCAAATTAACTTATGCTAGACATAAAATCTGCATTAAGTATTGGACTGAAAATGAGTACATGATGAAATGAAACTTAAAAGAAAGAATCAATATAAAGCTAACATTTAGTAAAATTTTTTTTTTAAAGTGACTAATCTTCTTTAAAATATATGGGACTGATGTAAGTATAAAATATAAATGTTTGAAGACATTTTATTTAATGCTAATTACTTGAAAAAATGATAAAGTTGATTTTATTCTTGAATTTGTCTTATAATTAAGTTAAATATTAGATTAGGTTTAATAATAATGAATCCTACTTGCAGATTTATTTTATTCTTACAAATTGCAAAAGTGGTACTAAAAAGGTAAAGTTTGGGGGTAGATAATAGCCTTATTTATTCAGTTCATTTTTGCTGATAGGTCCTTAATTTTTTCATTGATAGTCCTATGTGTACAAACCCTGTCGAGGCAATGTTCCTTGAGATTGAGAATATTAATGTTTCTTTTTCTTTCATTAGTATATATAATTGGCCATATTACGGGAGTAAATTCCCCTCCACCTCCAAAAAATTATTCCAGATGTCCAGAAACAGATTATGTCTAAACATTTATGTAGTTGAGTTTACAAAAATTTCATAGTGTAAAAATCAAAAAACAAAAGCTATGGATTAATAAAATAATGCATAATATTTCAAAACAAAAGCATGATAAAATATCTGATGGAAAACTTACCATAGATCCATGGTTTTAGTTTAATAAATACATAAACATAAGATATGCTTTCACTTTGCAATAATTTTGATGATATGATATCCTTTAGTAAACATATGATAGTGAAAGCTTTATACGGATTTCATAAAAAAGAAAATGTCAAGAAGAAAATTGCTTTCCATGGCCAAATTATTTAAAATAAATAAATAATCCTCATATGATCAAAAACTATTCAAAATGCCCTAAATTAAAATTTTGGCAGACAATATAGAAATATTAATAAAAAATAAATTTCTAAATATATTTCTGAATATATATATTTTATATCAGAAAAATATAAAAAACAATGGGACACTCCAGTGAGGCATTGGAATTATATTGACTGTTCAAGAATTTTAAAAGTATGTGTTTTTCCAATTATTTCCATTTCCATGTATCTTTGATATAGTAGTTAAAATCGCTGATCTTTATTAATCTTTATTATAATTCTAATCATTTAAGCTTTATTATTTTTTGTAATTTATGAATATATTAAAAATTGATTTTTATTGTTATTAAAATGATATCAAACTCAAATAATTTATTAAATACTGTCATAAAATCACTTCCTTAGTTTAGCAAATATTAATACATATTATGCTTGTTATTTCAATGTAGGAAAATAATTTAAAAAGAGGTTTAGCATAGAAGGATTATTTAAACATAATGATTATTTAGAAGTGTCCACCATAAATTAAAAATTTCTGATTAAAAACTAATATATAAAACTTGGTTATTCAGAAATTAAACAGCAGCTGAAAGAATATGAGAGAAATAAAAATAAATGGAATATGTTTTGAAAGGTAATCTTTAATGTACCAAATTTAAACTGAAATATATAATTTCTTTTTATGATATCTGGATTAAAAAATATGTTTAAACTATATAAATATACGATTATATTACTTAATCAGAAACCACAAGTGATTGTATTACAACAGTTAGGTAGAGAAAATAAAGGTATTTGATAAAAAAATAAGAAGCAGGGGGGGGGGGAGGATTGAAGGAAAAATTAATTTCTAAATCCATGTAATACCAAAATACTTTCTTATGGTTTCATAAAATAAAATAAATGCTATATAAATAACCTTAATTTCTCCCCTTTTTTAGTTCTTGAAGCTTTTTTTCCCCCTCAAATGGCAGATTGTAAACAATTACAATTGTAACCCAGTCCATTAATCTATACAGGGCCAGATGTGGTGATCTCTTTATTATGGAGGCACCTAATAGGCCTTTCCTATGAAGGGACGGACAGTTACAACCATGCCTTCTCCGGGATTCGAACCCAGGCCTTTCGGTATTGTAGTCAGTTTCCCTGATCACTATACCGACTGGGCGACTAGTTCTTGAAGTGCGTCTTTTGTATACAGTCAAAAGTCGTTAATCCGGACTATCGATTTTTCCGGATTATAGATCATCAGTTTAAATCTGGTAAGATGGCATGCAGAAATTATAAAATTAAAAATATGAAACTGCAATTAATGAAA